CCCCCCAGCCACCTCCTAGCAATGAGGGAGAAGAAGGGACCCCATTATTTCTCAAGGAGGAAAACACTCGCACGCTGTTGATGCTTTAGCTGGCTGTTTTATTTGATCAGGTGTGAGCCACGAACTCCGAAACAACGCTGGTTGCCTTGATAGGAGAGTAAAGGCTACACAGGGGACAGGGAAAGTACAATCACACCGCTCGGAGAAAGGAATTATTCCAGGAGTGACTTAAACCTGGAAGGGAGTCATTCCTTAACCCACCATGCCTGTGAACTCACAGGTTTTAGAGGGGTTGTCTTTTTCCACCACTGAGTAGCTGCAGGATTCCGTATGGAAGACGAGATGACATTTCTTTTCATCAAAGCCAGTAGGGCGGCCGTAGCTGGCATGGGGAAGGAAAACAAGCTTAGCGTGAGACGTGTCAGGCAGCTAAACACAATCAATCCCCAGGTCTGGGGACCGTTTTCCAGGCGTCTCCACCAGCAGTTGGTTTTCAGCAAATCAGCTGTCTCGCGGACGTCAAGCGTTTCATAGATGTCTCAGCAGAGAAGAGTTTTATGGCAGTGAGACCTCTAGATGTCCTCCACCACACGGCATCTGAAAACCTCACACCCACTAGTATTGTTATCAACCCAACACTCCTACGAAGGGAAGGACGCCAGACCAAGTCAGACCAAAGGTCCATCCAGCCCCGTGTCCTGTCGGCTGACAGTGGCCAAGGCCAGGGGCCCCAAAGAGAGTGAACAGAACAGGGAACGCTCAAGAGATCCCTCCCCTGTCCCCCATTCCCACCTTCTGACAGACAGAGTCCAGGGACACCATCCCTGCCCATTCTGGTTAAGAGCCACTGATGGGCCTAACCTCCAGAATTTATCTAGCTCTTTTTTTGAACCCCATTCAAGTCCTGATCTTCACATCGTCCTCTGGCAAGGAGTTCCACAGGTTGAAGAAGTACTTCCTTTTATTTGTTTTAAACCTATCATCTATTCATTTCATTTGGTGACCCCCCGCCTTCCCCTGGTTCTTGTGTTATGGGAGAAAGTAAATAATTTTTCCTTATCTACTGTCTCCGCACCAGTCATGATTTTGTAGGTCTCTATCCTATCCCCCTCTTAGTCACCTCTTTTCTAAGCTGGAAGAGTTATCCTGGGTCTCTTATCCCCCTGGGACAGCCCGTCCAATGCTGGGGTGGCATGTGGGGGAGTCACATGGGGGTGATGGTCATGTGTCCGATACCTCCCGTTGTGTCCCTCCCCAGCAGGGCTGCCTTCAACACCATTGGGGTGGTGGTAAGCTAAGGAGAATGCAGCTATAGGCCCAATGTGGGACAAAGCCATCACGCAAGACAAGATTTGGGAGTGATCGCATGACGTGCCCCAGGGCCGTGTTGAGGACCAGGTCCACGGCCCTTGGCAGGGCTGTGCCTTGGAGGGTTGGTTTATTCAGTGCGTGGATGGCACGACTATCACTGGGATTTTCATTGTGGAAATGCTGCTACTGCTTCGGTGGAACTTACGTGGTGCAGCACTGTGCTCCATCCTGGTAACAGGTACAGCTGTTGCAGTCCTTCACCCACGTGGCACCGTACGGGTATCGAATTCCATCTTGCACACAACCTGCAACACACAGAACACAGCAAACCCCCCGACCCGTCAATGAAACTGCAACACCAAACGCACAGCTGCAATCCGGCCGGGCATGCTCCATCTGAACTCCCGGCCTCTTCGTCAAGTCCGCCCCGGGGCCCATCGGAACGACAGCTCAGCCTCGTTTACGACGGGGAGAGCCTCCGTTTTCTGCTCTCCTGGGACGGCTCTTTTGAGGCAGCGAGGTCATGTCCTGCCCTGGTGGCGCATCCGCTCAGAGGGGGAGTGGTCTCGTGCCAAATGATGGGGGCATCATGCCATCTCTTCCAAAATCAGCAAACCACTCCCCCTCCCCAGCAGTCAACAGCACCCTGGAGTCTCCTGTCTGATTCCTTGGAAATAGGGCATAAGGGAGAGACTCCAGTGGGAATGGGTGGTGTCATTTAGGGAGGGTGTGGAATTTCCATCTCTGGAGATATTTACAAGCAGGTTAGATAAATGTCTACCAGGGATGGTCTAGACAGTATTGGGTCCTGCCATGAGGGCAGGGGACTGGACTCGGTGACTCTCGAGGTCCCTTCCAGTTCTAGTGTTCTAGGATTTTGCAGAACCAGAATTCACACACACTACGTGCCTGAGCCAAAGCCATTAGAGGACACACAAGATGCTTTCTGAGTATTCCTCTTGCCAGCAGCCCATCACTCTAAAACTAATTTAATACCATTCCCCTCCTCCAGATGCTGCCTGGCTGTTCCCGGCTAATATAGAACAATCGAGGGAATTACTGTGGTTCTTACCTTTGATGGACGGGTTAGCTGGTTCAATGAAACAGGCTGCATCACAGAGTGTCACCAACATGCCAAAGGCAAGAAAGAAACCCAGGAAGCCTTTCTGAAAGAGAGAGACAAGGCCTGTGGCAAGAATGAGGGGCCTTTTTAACAGTTACCAGCTAACGCTGGTTCCTTTGTACGGAAACGAACAGGACAAATCTTGGCACGTGGAACAAAATTCGAAACGGACCCGTTCCAAAGAGGACGCAGAGATAACCATATAAACCTCAGTAAGCAAGGGAACGAGAATCCATCTTTCTACGGAAGTGGGTTTTACCCACAAAAGCTTATGCCCTGATAAATGTGTCTCTAAGGTGGTTTTCGCACGCGAACAAGGTTCCTCTGCATGGTCTCCCAACCCGGGATTCTGGAGGCAGGCAGAGACATGCGTGTGTCCAGAAAACCAAATCAGAACATTTCCCCTTCCCTTCTTAATCTGCACACACCACAGAAAATGCCGTGCGGTCTGTGGAGCCTGGTCTCCCCCAGACTTTGTGAAATGCTGCTTTCCGTTACACCGGCAGTGGTCACGGGGCTGCGTGGGCACACACCAAATGTTAATCTCTGTTCTTTTTCCATCTTTGGCCAGGCTTTCGGTCTGCTGCAAGCGTTTGAAAGCGCCTGAAAACGAATGCTGGGAAAGGACACCCTCTTGTACATCGGGAGATGAATAATGGGACGAACGGTTGTGTTTTCCCTCTGTCGCTTCCGATGGCGTGGTTCTAAACATCTCCAGAATCGGAAAGGCTTTTTACAAAGGTAACTGTTCCCAAGAGTAAAATAACAATCGGCCAAAGACACCCCCATCCCAGTTTACCTGTACAGCTCATAACAAACCACATTTATTGTCACGTTCATAAAATTATACCCAGTGTCTTAATCTCTGGATGGGTGAGGGATTGAGGGGCAGCAGGCACCAGGGGAGCTGATGGAGCAAGGGGAGGAGACGTGGCAGCAAAGGGAAAAGATATTTATTAATAATGTGGGTGCCACAGTGGCACATCCAAACAAGCCCCATGAACTCAGTACTGGTGCACAACATGACATTCATTCTACTCATGGGAGGAAACTCTTAGAGGGAACACTCCCCCCAGCCTCTCCGCCCCCGAGTTAATGTCACACACACACTGGGTTAATGCAATTGCAGGATAGTTGCATGAGGGGGGTTTGGTGGAGGCCAAACTAATCCCTGTTGGTAGAAGGATGGTGGGAAAAGTCCTTGGAGGGGGGTCACATGACACCTTTTACTTCTGGGCATGTGTCCGTCTTGCCCCGAGAGTGTTACCTCCAGAGGCGTGGCCAATGGGAGTCAGGGGGTGTGGCCAGTGGGGGTCAAAGAGTACATTTAAAAAATACTTTGGGTGCACACCCTAATGAAATGTGCTGCGCACATCTATGCTTGGGAGGTCAAATCCTTGGGAGCGTGATTTTCCTCCCCCTCCCCCCCAGTGGCTAAGTACCTATGTCTTCCATTATGTCATTAGAGCTAAGAGCACCCAGGATTTTGGGGCAAATCAGGCCCCAGACTAAAATCGGTAGCAATGTGCAGCCGCCTTGGAAAATACCAAACACAACTTACCATTCTGGCAAAGTCTTTGGCCTCGGCGAAGCAGGCAGCCTGTGGGTAGCGGCTGTTTGCAACATGCTTATATACGGTGCGAAGACATGCTTATATAAGTTGCTGGCAGTTCCAACCCTTGAGCAAACAAAATGTGATAGAGGGCTACGCAGAACGATCTTACACGGGCTGGAGAACAGGAAAATGTTCAGCTGGTGTTAAGCAGGAAGGTGTCGCACGCCTGGGAGGTTGCAGTCAATCGTTATCAGGACCAGCAAGTGCAGGGGAGAATTCTTATCGGTGTTTATCGCCCAGATGTTTCTGGCCTCACGGTGCGTCCAAGGCACTAACCGGTAAGCCCAAACAGCTGCAGTTGCATGCAGGAATCCCATTGCACACGGAGCCGAGTGGTCAGCCCTAGGAGAAGCCTCTGGCGGGATACTGAGTGGAAGGAAGGACGACCCGCCTCTTCAGGGATCACTACAAACTTCCCTCTTCCCGCCCTGCCTGTCACACACTGGCCAGGCCGGCGTTTTGCACAGCGCCATGGAGCCTGGCTCGCAGGGAACGGATTCATCTCTGGGCCTAGGGGTGACATTGCTGTCTGGGCTGGGCCGAGTGAGAGGGGCGCCGCTGGAGCTATCCGGCTGTTTGTGGCCGAGGCAGCGTTTGGAAGTGTCTGGCACTGCAACCGCCTTGGGTCCTTTTCCGCACGTCTCCCCGTCCCGCAGGTAGCACCTCCAACCTGGAATCCCCGGCCTATTGCATCCCTGGCGACTGCCCCAAACCGTCGGCTCCTGCAGCTCCCTGTAGCAGAGACGAAGGTGCAGAGGGGCCCTGTGTGTCCAGAGATCGCGCTGGGTAACCAAAATAAATCTACTCTTCTGAATGGAAGGCAAATGCCACTTTTGGAGGGGAGCAAATCTCTTGCCTGACCCAAAATAAAATACATCTGAGGCTCGGGGTCACTGAAAATCTGAAGGTTGGACCCCCAAATAATTTTCCCCCCAGAATTTCCAGCAACCTGAAACTCAGTTCCCCCAAAGCTCTCCTGCAACTGTGGGCAGGGGACATAACTGAGTTGGAAGGGGATATAGGCCCCGGGTTCAGGGCCTAGGTTAAATGGTCCAGACCTGACAGGTCACTGGGTTTGCATAAGAAGCATCGTGGCCACGTCCTCCCTCTTGGCGGAGCTAGCGCTAAAGACTCATCTTTCCCCAGGAGCAGAAGAGGCATGTGGGAACCCCCTGGGTGGTGATCCCTCAGAGAGAGCTGGCGTCCAAGAAGGGGTTACCTCAAGAAAGGGAATGTCTTCGGAAGCCTTTTCCCTTTCCTCGCTGCTCTATAACACGCCATGGTGCACGGATTCCTCACACCCGCTGCACTTGCGTCCTGTTACCAATGCACGGATGATGCTGAGCTAATGCCACGCCAGCCAGCAAGCAGATGACTTGGTTAGTATCCCTCGGAGGCACCGCAGCTACAAAGTATGCTTGTGCCGTGTTCCCAGCTAGACGGAACGCTGTTCCCAACACCAAGGCTTGGCCAACGTGCTAGTTGGGTTTCCCACTGGTGAGATTCCACGAGGAACCCGTTCAGCGGCCCAAGGATCATGGGCCAGTAGAAAGGTTGGCACCTGGCATAGACACACACGGAATAATGCTGGTGGCTCTGGGTACCCGCTGGCGCTTGGAAGTTTATCGGATGCATGAGAGACATAGAAACTGAGAAGGGTGGGTCCTTCGTGAACATAGAGGCTATGTCTAGACTGGCATGATTTTCTGCAAATGCTTTTAACAGAAAAGTTTTCCGTTAAAAGCATTTTCGGAACAGAGCGTCTAGATTGACACGGACGCTTTTCCGCAAAAGCATTTTTTGCGGAAAAGCGTCCGTGCCAATCTAGATGCGCTTTTGCGCAAAAAAGCCCTGATCACCATTTTCGCCATCAGGGCTTTTTTGTGGAAAACAAATCTGAGCTGTCTACACTGGCCCTTTTGCGCAAAAGTTTTGTGCAAAAGGACTTTTGCCCGAATGGGAGCAGCATAGTATTTCCGCAAGACGCACCGAGAATCTTACATGAGATCGTCAGTGCTTTTGCGGGAATTCAAGCGGCCAGTGTAGACAGCTGGCAAGTTTAGAACCCCGGACAAAGGTGGTTCGGGAAATACAGGCTGGCTCTTATTATTTCCCGGAACTCATTCATCGTGAGTAAGAAATAGTGTCCCCGGCCTCTGTGTGTCAGAGGGTGGAGATGGATGGCAGGAGAGAGATCGCTGGATCATTACCTGTTTGATTCACTCCCTCTGGGGCACCTGGCATTGGCCACTGTGGGCAGACAGGACACTGGGTTGGATGGACCTTTGGTCTGACCCAGTGTGGCTGCTCTTATGTTCTTATCCATCCATCCCAGTCAGACAAACTGCTGACACCCATAGGCTCTCCTCACACAAAGGAGAGGAGCCCCATCGTCACCTAGCTCTTATTAAGAAGCCACTCAGGGACTTTGGATGCTTCATCTGAATTTATTTTATGCAGGAGATCAAAGCTCAATTCTGTCAATGCAGGGACTCACAGAAACAGCATAGGATCAGGTCCAGAGTGTTCTCGCACACGGAACTACTACGCGACAAGGGGAGGAAAACCCAGCTGTTAGTAGCAATGCTTAAAAGAGCAGCCTGGCTCGTCAAAGGACAGACTCATTCTGCCGCTAGATGGGGAAGGAGAGGCGCTCGGCAGAGAAACTCAGCGTGGGCTTGTAATTAACCCGCCCAACCCTGGACGATGCAGGTTTTCGAGTGGTCGGCCTTCTCCACCACGGTGAAGGTGCAGGTCTCCTTGCTGAAAATGCTTTCACATTTCTCTTCATCAAACTCACGAGGCGAATGGAAGCTATCAGCGGGAGGGGAGAAAAGCAAACAACAGGTGGTGAGAATGAGAAGCAAACAATCTCTAATGATGGAGCAGTCACACTCTCAGGAGGAAGAGACTGTCGGGAGGTGTTAGAGCAGGCGGACTGGTTTTCTAGAGTACAGTTTGATCAGCCCAGCCCGCCTTACTGCTCATGAACAAAGACCGGTTGGTTCGTTCTTTGTCATTTGACAAACAGCCTGAAAGCTCCTTTCCCCTCTTGGAATAGTGATAGAAATGTAGCCGAGTTAGTCTGGTGTAACTGAAACAAAATACAGGACTGCGTAGCACTTTAAAGACTAACAAGATGGTTTATTAGATGATGAGCTTTCGTGGGCCAGACCCACTTCCTCAGATCAAAGAGTCTTTGATCTGAGGAAGTGGGTCTGGCCCACGAAAGCTCATCATCTAATAAACCATCTTGTTAGTCTTTAAAGTGCTACATAGACCTGTATCTCACCACTCAGACGTCCAATCATCCAGTAAACCATCTTGTTAGTCTTTAAAGTGCTACGCAGTCCTGTATTTTGTTCCCCTCTTGGATTATTCTTAAAGGCTACATCTAGACTGAACTGCTTTTCCAGGATACCAGAGGTATCCCCAAAGAGCAACACTACGTCCAAGGAACACGTCTGCTTTTTCAGACAAAATTTCGAAAAAGCAGACATGCTCTTTTGCCATCCCTGTAAGCCTCATTTTCCGAGGAATAAGGGATATGTCAAAAGGGCACTTTTTTCTGAAATTTGGCGCCAAGTTTCGGAAAAGCCTCTTTCGACAGTAAAGTGGAAAAAGATGCATTTCGTTTTCCGACTTTCCATGGCAGTGGAGACCTAGCCAACATGTGCATGCTTTGTTTGTTTATTTTTCAATTTCCCTTATCCCATCGTCTGATTGGTCAGTTTAGGGGCGTGGCTTTTTGTTTCTGTTCTCTGATTGGAAAGGTGTCATGGGAAAACATGGGAAAGCTACAGTCAAGGCAGTGGGCCTTTGTTCCTTGCCTGGAGAGAAGGGGTGAGCAGTTTGGGGGTTAGGAGAACTTAGATCAGCAGGTGGAGAGTGTGGTCAGATCCCCGCACCCTGATCCTATTCTCTTGGCTGGGTGGGTGGAGCAGGTTGGCACATGGGGGTGGCCATTTTACCACAAACCCCCAGTAGGCTGGGGTCTCTAGGCATGGGGCCCGTTGGCTCAGTGGCTAATCTGCCACTGATTACATCTTCTCCTTTCCAGGCTAGTGGCGCTGGCCCCTCTCTGAAATCGGAGGCTACAGGAGCTTTTTGAACAGGAGCTACATGGGCAAAGGAAGTTTTCCCATTCCTGGAAATATCTCGGAGGGGAGGGGGAGAAGCTTGGAGTGTGTAATCAGTAAGGTGCAGGACTTGTTAGGCCATTTATTCTCTTCACGCTTTTATGAAGTAGGGCAGTGTCCTATCATCCCCATTTTACAGACAGAAGATGGAGGCAGAGAAAAAAGTGAGTTGCCCAAGAACACCCAGGAAATCTGTGGCAGAGCTGTGACTTGAACTCAGGTCCCGAGATCCCTGCTAAAACCCTAAGCTCTGGATTATACTTCCTCTTTGATCATCAGAAACCCTGTGGCATTTTTAATAAAAGTAGAGGAGTTCGTTGCAGGCACCAGACCAAATTTCCTGCGAGTGGGTCGGATGTAATCTGAGGAGAAAGCAGACGTTGATCTACCGGGCAGAAAAAAAAGTCTCTATGTGGAGCTGTGATTTGGGGACTGTGTCTATTCAATGGAGCATCATGCGGTTTTCACGCAGGAAAGACACAGCAGGTTCTGTTGGACTTACACAGAGCAGCATCGAATTCCATTCTGGGAGCAGTAACATCTGTGGCAATTTGAAATCCAGGTGCTGTCAAATTTATGCAGCTCTCCATCGTCTAGACAACCTACAATAGAACAAAAACCCGCCCTTCGGTGTTGACAGGTCACTAACGACTTCAGCATCTCTGTGCAGCTTGTGAATGATTGATGGGCATGTGTTGGTAGGTTGCAGCTGACGCCCGAGAGCAACACTCAGTCAATCTTTTAGGGTTTGATTTAGCGGGTCTAGTAAAGACCCACTAAATTGACTGCTTATGGCACCCCCACTGGCCCTGGTACTCCATAGGGTCTTGAGGAGTAAGGGAAGTCAAAGGGAGAGTCTCTCTCATTGACCTCCCGCAGCGGAGACACCGCAAAAATTCGACTTAAGATAGGTCGACTCCAGTTACACTAATTTCATAGCTGAAGCTGCGTATCTTAGGTCAACTTTCTTGCATAGTGTAGACCTGGCAGAAATGTAATTAATTCTATTCCTGTGTCCACCTGAATTACATTTCAGCTTTGTTTAGTCCTGTGAGAGCATGAGTTTCTTTGCTCTTCCTTTTCTGCGCACGGGGGACAAATCTTTTGGGACACTGAGCAATAAGTAGCTGAGCTGCCAGACGAACATATTGCCATTAATTCCAGGGGGAGTTCTGCTTGGAAAACTGACGGCCACATCACACTATCACCACTAACCCCACTAGAAAATCTACACACACACAGGGGCTGTGTCTACACTGGGCCACTTATTCCGGAAAATCAGACACTATTCCGGAATAAGCTGCGAGCTGTCTACACTGGCCCTTGAATTTCCGGAAAAGCAACGATGCTCTACTGTACAAAATCAGCCGCTATTCCGGAAAAACTATTCTGCTCCTGCTCGGGCATAAGTCCTTATTCCGGAACACTGTTCCGGAAAAGGGCCACTGTAGACAGCCCAGTAGTCTTTTCCAGAAAAAAGCCCCGATCGTGAAAATGGCGATCGGGGCTCTTTTCCGGAAAAGCACGTCTACACTGGCCACAGACGCTTTTCCGGAAAAAGGGCTTTTCCGGAAAAGCAGCCTGCCAATGTAGACGCTCCTTTTCCGGAAAAACTGAAAACGGAATAGTATTCTGTTTTAAGCATTTCTGGAAATTCATGCCAGTGTAGACACAGCCAGGGACTTCTTTGTCAGCCACTTACGCATGGGGGAAGTCTTGTGTCTCTTATTAAGAGTTTGGATTCACGTTCTTCTTTGGACTAGTTCCGAAAGGGAAGGGGGATTCAGTTAGATAGAACGGACACAGCAGCAGACCAAGCATGAGCTAGAGCCAGATCCAGTAGATGTCTGCCTCTTGCCTACTGCCTTCTCCTCAAAGGGTACGTCTACAAAGCAACATTATTTCGTAATAACTAGCGTAATTTTGAAATAACTTAGTTCGCATCTACACAGCAGGTCGTTGTCTCGAAATAATGTCGAAGTCCTGTCAAGCTGGAGGACTTCTTACTCCAACTCCTGTAACCCTCCTTGTACGAGGAGCAAAGGAAGTCCAAAGAAGAGTGTCTATTTCAAAAATGTGTAGACCCTCCCAATTTCGAAATAAGCTATTTCGAAATAAGCTACGCAATTGACGTCGCTCAATTTGCATAGCTTATTTCGAGTTAAGCCCTGCTGTGTAGAGGCACCCTAAATGTCTAATTTGGGGGGAGAGGGGTCTTCTACATTCCCTTCTTGCTCCCTCCCTCACACCTTTCCTGACCTCAGTGGTGGAGAACTAACTTAGACCACGCCGGAGAGTGTGTTTGTGATTCTTACCTTTAGTAAATGTGGCTGGATCATTTAGTCGAAAATAACAGTACGCATCACATAGTGTCACCCAGAGGCCAAGGGCAAGAAGGAAACCCAGAAGGCACTTCTGTAAGTGGGAAATATGGCAAGAATTAGGAGGTTTTCAATGGGTAGGGACTAAAAATGGATTCATTCGTAGAGAGACAGATGGAATCTTGGCATGCCTAAAAGCAAAAACCAGGAAGAAATGATTCCATAGAGCAACGCACTTTTTTTCTCAGCCTATGTGACTTGTTTCTGAAAACAAACCAAGAAAGAACCTGTATGAACCTGGGCAAGAGAACTCAGAGCGGATTACTTTGAATAGACCCACAGCTGTGACCTCGACTCCCCGGCCGATACACAGCAAGATTTGAGATGCTTAAAAGTGTGCTGTGCCGCAAACTGATTCCTACCGTATCCTCTTCACGGACAAATCCGTACACCTCGGAACTGCCCCCTATTCTGCAAACTCTGCACTCATCAAGAGACTGCCAAATGCTCTTCACTTACACCTGTAACACTCACGGAGCTGCATGGGTGTAAACTAGAAGAGAGTGTAGCTCCTGTTCTCTTCACATCTTTTGAGGGTTGCCGAAGTCGTCAGCTTTTGCAATGTCCTGGCACCTCCTGGTATCTCAGCACAAAGGGACGAAATAAATGACAGAAAATGTGTATTTTCCATCTAGAACTTCAGCTTGCATTGTTCTACCCAGCTCTGGAATCAGACAGGCTTTTATAAAGGGGCTGACTTTTCCCGGGCTTAAAATATCAACAGGCGAAAGAGCCACAGAATTACATGGGCAGCCCCTAGCAAACAAGTGAACAACATTCATTGTCTGCATAAAATTAGGGCCCTGGTCTGAGTCTCCTTTTAGAATCCTGCAGGTATTCCATACAGCACAAGCACCTCAAACAGCTCTCGAGTCAGGCGTTTCTCTCTAATACAGTTTGAACATCTCTTGGCCGGCCCCCTCAGGACCTGACTGGTGCCGATCCAGAGGATTTGCCGGACATCCACGAACTGGCCACAAACAGCTGATGCATCGTGTTCCAGTTCTGGGGACGGAGCACCAAGCAGGTGACTTGTGGTGCTCTGAAAGTGCTGGAAGGGTGGGGAGGAGATGGAAGTGTGGGACTCTGGTGCACAAGAGGCATGCGGAGGCAAGGAAGTAGACAGGGGGTCCATAGGCCGTGGGTGGATTCCCAACAGGCTGCATTCAGCCCTCGGGCCGCCGGTTGACCACCCCTGGATCAGAGGCTACGCTAGAGAAAATCTCAAGAAAGGATCAGAACAGCCACAATGGTGAAGGGACCACAGTGCCCGTCTTTTAGCTGGGAACCAGAGTCCTGTTACTTTTCCAAGCATGGAATTCCATCATTGTCCGTATCTGGCTTTCTTGGACCTGCCTGTGAAGCTGCAAGTGCTGGTCAAAGAACCATAGAATTCTAGGACTGGAAGGGACCTCGAGCGCTCATCGAGTCCAGTCCCCTGCCCTCCCGGCAGGACCAAGCACCGTCTAGATCAACCCTGATTGATGTCTGTCCAACCTGCTCTGAAATATCTCCAGCAATGGGGATTCCACAACCTCCCTGGGCAATTTATTCCAGTGTTTAACCACCCCGACAGTTAGGAAGTTTTTCCTAACGTCCAACTTATACCTCCCTTGATGCTGTTTAAGCCCATTGCTTCTTGGTCTATCCTCAGGAGCTAAGGAGAACAATTTTTCTCCCTCCTCCTTGTGACACCCTTTTAGTTACTTGCAAACTGCTACCATGTCCCCTCTCTGGTCACTGTCAGAGGGAGGAGATTGGAGTAGATGGTCCATTGATCTGAGTTAGTCTGACTATTACTTTGGTCTATTTTGAGATAGACTAAACATCCAGGAGACAATTTAACATCAGCCCTTTTATACCCTTGTGAAAGCATAAGATACACATTTTGACTCACCATTGTGAGAGCTTCCACTGCTGGAAATCACGCAACCTGCAGACAGTAGTGGCTTAGCAGATTTATAAACTGTGTAGGAACAAGTCTTTTGCAATGCCGAGAAAATGGAATGTGTGTCATTAACTCAAATATTTGCTCCGAGATCACATCAGTTGGGTATGATTGAAGTGGAGGCCAGTTGGGAGGGGAATCTTTGACACTGATAGATAAGTGAGCTGATCCAAAGTCCTCTGAAATCAATGGAAAAGATTCCTAGTGACTTCAGCAGTTTTTGAATCTCTCCCTGGGGTCCTGATCCATCAAAGCCCTGACGCACAAACTTAGCGATAAGCATTTGAGTCGTTGGCTTGTCTCCAAGGAAACTATGCCAGCTGCTTAAAGTTAAGCACACACTTCAGTATTTTGCCGGATTAAGGTGTAAAACACCTTTAGAACATGAACTGGCAGCCATCTTGTCCCAAAATCTTCCTGTAGTGAGGTGCTTTGGCTTCCCTCTGATCTGGAAGGGGAAGACCCTCCTCTCTGTTCCTTGGTGGGTGGAGCTAGACCAGTTTTGCCCCACCCCCTGGAAGTAAAGGGGCGTGGCTGGAAGTATAAAGGGTGGGGTGGACGGCTTAATTGGAGCACAGCTACCAGAAGAGGCAGAGCTCCTGTTCTGGGAGATGGCCGTAGATCTGAAAGAAGATGGGAGCCGACCCAGAGCACTCAGCCCTCTGACTGACCAGACCCTGGGGGAAGCTGATGACTGCTCTGGGTTGCCCAGACCTGACCTCGAAGGAGCCACTTATAGTGACCCCTGTCAACTACGACCCCCCCCCCACGTGACAGGTACACGTGGAGGAGGAGTCTGGAGTGGGTGAGCTTGCATCCCCCCACAGCCAACCCTTGTGGTTGGCAATCTTCCCCCACGCCAAGCTTGGCCCCGCTCTGAGCCAGAGCCCAACTATGGACTGTTACTTGCCCAACTCATACCTTGGATAGAGGACACTGATTCCCCAGCAGCAGACAACAGCCATATTCTAGTGCGTCGGGTTGGCTGCCCGCTCATCCAGGAACCCCACCCCAATCAACCCCACTTCCCAGGATAAGTATATATCACATGCTTGGTCCAGGGCAAGCCTGCAGCTCTGGGACTCAGAAGAGGTGCGATCTGACCCTGATTCTGCCATGGATCTTGTGTGGGCAAGTCACTTCACCGTTCTGTGCTTCCGCAGGGCAGGAGGGGCTCCCTCGCCTCGGCAGGAGCGTCAAGCCAGAGAAGGAAAGCTCCAGTTCCAAACCAAGACTCTCCGCCCCAGCCAGCTGGTTTGTAAAAGTTGGGCGGGTCATAGGTGCTCTCTGGGTCTGCGCCGCCAACCCCCGCTAGCAGGCCATGCGCAAGCAAGCCTTTTTGGATGGTCTTCTAGACCCCCGCCCTTGCAAAAGGGGGAGCAGATGTCATGCGTAGAAGAATAGCAGTGCTCTCCAGGCCCACAGCTGTGTGGCTGAAGCCCTAGATGAGATCCTAGATGAGATCAGAGGTTCTACGCGAGGCATCATTGCCAGCAGTTTCTTGTTTCTTCAATGAGCTGAAGAAAAGCGCATGGGACTAAGAGTCCAGTTATTGGTGGGAAGGGGGGGGTTCCTAGCTCTCACATTGACTTTCTGCGTGATTTTCTGGGGTGTTGTGAAGTGTAATTAAAGACTGAACTGCTGTAGATTTGCACTGTGTTATTTTCCGGGCATACAGACTACGTCTAGACTACAAGCCTCTTTCGAAAGAGATCGTCTAGACAGCAACCACTTTTTTCAAAAAAAAGAGCCGCTTTTTTGAAGGAGAGCACCCAGGCAGTCTGGATGCTCTCTTTCGAAAATGCCCTGTTTGCGTTCAAGAACGCCTTTTTTCGAAAAAATACTTTCGAAAAATGGTGCTATTCCTCGTAAAATGAGGTTTACTGCAGTTGAAAAAACTGCCGCATTCTTTCGCTTTACTTTCGAAAGAACGCGGCGGCAGTCTAGATGCAGGTGAAGTTTTTTTGAAAAAAGGCCAGTTTTTTTCAAAAAAGCCCTGTAGTCTAGACACACCTAATGTGTCTAGACTGCCACCGCGTTCTTTCGAAATTAAATAGAATGCAGCAGTTTTTTCAACCACGGTAAACCTCATTTTATGAGGTATAGCGCCTTTTTTCGAAAGTGCTCTTTCGAAAAAAGGCATTCTTGAACACAAACTGTGTTTTTTCGGAAGAAAACATCCAGACGGCCTGGGTTGCTCTCCTTCGAAAACGTGGCTCTCTTTTTCGAAAAAAGTGGTTGCTGTCTAGATGATCTTTCAAAAAAAGCTTTTTCTAGAAGTCAGAGACGTGTTGTCACATCCGAGAAACATACAGAGCCAGGTAGGTAGCTTACCAGCCCAACAAATTGAGGGCGGGGCTGCTCCTAGGCCCAGCTCAAATACGTCACTGGGAACCTCCCCTGGCTGCTGACTGGATGCCCAGTTCTGAAGGCAAAGCCGTAGCGCTAAAGAGTGTCAATACCCTACAATGGCTTTGTGACCCCCATCTTTGCAACACTGTGAAATTTCAGCTTTCAGTATCAGAAACTGAAATTCATGATTTAAAAAAATCATATGCCCATGAAATTGACCAAAATGGGCCAGGAATTTGGTAGGGCCCTAGGCCGTGTCCAGACTCAGGGGTTTTTTCAGGAAAAGTAGCCTTTTCCCGAAAAAACTTCCCCTGCGTCCAGACTCAAGCCATGTTCTTTCGAAATTATTTCGAAAGAACGTGGCTTTTCTTTCGATGGCGGTAAACCTCAATTTATGAGGAAGAACGCCTTCTTTCGAAAGTTCCTCTTTCGAAAGAAGGCGTTCTTCAATGTAAAGAGGCCGTCTTCGAAAGAGAGCATCCAGACTCGCTGGGTGCTCTCTTTCGAAAAAGCGGATTTCTCTTTCGAAAGATCCGCCTGCAGTCTAGACGCGATCTTTCGAAAGAGGCTCTTTCGAAAGAAGCCTGCAGTCTAGACATAGCCCTACTAATATAGAAGCACTAGCAGATTTATTCGGCTTTGCTTGGGTCCTTAATTCAATTAAGGTTTGGTTGCGGGAGAGGGTGGAAAATAAAAGGAAAATGTACATGCTTCATTTAAATGATTGTAGTTTTAAAAAATGCAGTGTTATTTTATGAAGGTAATGTTCATTTCAGATTCCTTAAAAAAGAGATTGCTAAAATGTGTCCAATTTTTTTAGTAATTTTTTAAAAATGGTAATTCCATGAAGTGTATTTTTTTTTATCCCTATAAACTCTTATCATTCACCATGGTTTAACAAAACAGGGCTATAGTCCATTTGGTTTCCAATAACATTTTTCTTCTAGTTTTCAAACCTAATGCATTGAACTAGCTGGGCCAAAACAGAGTATTACTCCACATTTCTCCATTGTCTCTCTTTTCTGCAAGGAGAATGGTAATAGAGATGTAGCCGTTTCTTGCACAATTTGATCTGAGGAAGTGGGTCTGGCCCATGAAAGCTCATCACCTAATAAACCATCTTGTTAGTCTTTAAAGTGCTGCATAGTCCTGTCTTTTTTTCTTCTGCAATCCTACTACAGGCTCATCCTATTTTCCTGGCTCATCTTGGCTTAGTCTCTTTCGACGTTCACTCAGTGATGTCAATTTTGAGGACTGTTTTTGCTTTGGGGATTCTGTCTTCTTGTGTTTGGTTTTCTGAGAAGCAATCCCATTCCAGGCATACCCTGTTTTCCTGGCACAGCCAGGCCTTGACTTTGCTTTATGTTATGAGAAAAGGAAGCTGCCTACTGCATTTGCTGGTCCCAGTTCTTACTGCTAAGGAGGATAGACAGTAGATCACCAGGCTGGGAGTCTTGCAATGAAGTGGGACTTTTTGGTTCAATGTGTTTTGAACATCCCCACCCAGTGGCCAGATCTCACAGGACATGAGTCTGCTGCAACAACCAGCTAAGGCAGGATGCAAAGGCCACAAGGATCAGGGGAGTCAACAGCCTCTGGGCAAAGGGGGGGGGGAGGGTGGCTCTGTGCGCCCAAAAGGGGCAGGGCCTCGGGCAGAAGGGGTTGAGGGCTGCCAGCCCCCCCCTCCTCTTCCTGTCCATACAGCCTCTCTCCAAGTTACGGACCAAACACTTGGCTGTAACTCGAACTATTCATAACTCGGACCCCACTGAGTTACACGCGACCGCGCTGTTCGTAACTGCGGGTCACGGGGACCGCCTTTATGACTGCTCCATGGGAGCTTTGGTCGTAAGTGCAAACGGTCGTAACTCGACCGTTTGCAACTCGGGGAGCGGCTGTACTCAGAACGGCATGGAACATGCAGCATGGCACTCCAGCAGCGATTTAAAGGGTCCGGGGGTGCCCGCCTTCTCCGCTGCCACCCAGACTCCTTTCAATCGCCCGTCCCCCAGACAACTGCCCCCTTTTCCTCCCCCTTTATGGCAGGACTGATAAGGATCAAGGGGTTTTTCTTTTCTCTGACTGCAGGGGCTTTGGGGATAGGCCATACCTATATGCTGCAGACGAGCATCTTGTGGTGATGACGGACTGCAGGGTACCACACAGGCCTGTAGTTTGCAGGGTGTCAGGAATCCCCGAGAGGGGTGAGTGCGGGGTTGCCAGCTTTCTACTGGTACAAAACGGAACACCCTCGTCCCTGTCCCGTCTCTGAGGTCACCCCCGCCCCCACTGACTACATTCACCACCACTCGTTTTCACTGAGCCGGGACAAGAGTTTGGGGTGCAGAAGTGAGAGGTTCTGGGTGAGGATGGGAGCTCTGGGCTGAGGCAGGAGGGGCCAGGATGAGGGGTGTGGGGTGCAGGAGAACACACCGAGTTGGGGAACGGGGCAGAGGGGCTCCGAGTGGGGACAGGGCTGTGGGTTGCGCTGGGGGCAGGCAGGGGGGGTGTCAGGGCTCTGGGCTGGGATGAGGCGTGTGGGGGGCAGGAGAACACACCGAGTTGGGGAACGGGGCAGAGGGGCTCCGAGTGGGGACAGGGCTGTGGGTTGCGCTGGGGGCAGGCAGGGGGGGTGTCAGGGCTCTGGGCTGGGATGAGGCGTGTGGGGGGCAGGAGAACACACCGAGTTGGGGAACGGGGCAGAGGGGCTCCGAGTGGGGACAGGGCTGTGGGTTGCGCTGGGGGCAGGCAGGGGGGGTGTCAGGGCTCTGGGCTGGGATGAGGCGTGTGGGGGGCAGGAGAACACACCGAGTTGGGGAACGGGGCAGAGGGGCTCCGAGTGGGGACAGGGCTGTGGGTTGCGCTGGGGGCAGGCAGGGGGGGTGTCAGGGCTCTGGGCTGGGATGAGGCGTGTGGGGGGCAGGAGAACACACCGAGTTGGGGAACGGGGCAGAGGGGCTCCGAGTGGGGACAGGGCTGTGGGTTGCGCTGGGGGCAGGCAGGGGGGGTGTCAGGGCTCTGGGCTGGGATGAGGCGTGTGGGGGGCAGGAGAACACACCGAGTTGGGGAACGGGGCAGAGGGGCTCCGAGTGGGGACAGGGCTGTGGGTTGCGCTGGGGGCAGGCAGGGGGGGTGTCAGGGCTCTGGGCTGGGATGAGGCGTGTGGGGGGCAGGAGAACACACCGAGTTGGGGAACGGGGCAGAGGGGCTCCGAGTGGGGACAGGGCTGTGGGTTGCGCTGGGGGCAGGCAGGGGGGGTGTCAGGGCTCTGGGCTGGGATGAGGCGTGTGGGGGGCAGGAGAACACACCGAGTTGGGGAACGGGGCAGAGGGGCTCCGAGTGGGGACAGGGCTGTGGGTTGCGCTGGGGGCAGGCAGGGGGGTGTCAGGGCTCTGGGCTGGGATGAGGCGTGTGGGGGGCAGGAGA